TTTCACTGTGTAAGAAGAAAGATACAAATATTTTCAGGGAAAATGCAAGAAAGAATTGTGGTATTAGATAAAATTATGATTTTTATATATACATATTTCTTAGCTCTGCCTGTTGGAAAAGCCTAAAAAAAACCCAGAACTTAGTAGCAATAAGCACACAAAACACCCAGATCTTGCTTTCTTAATACCATTCTCCATTAAAATGAAGCAGAGGTCCTTGGAGAAAAAACTGATTCCTGTTCTGGGGACAGGAAAATACAAGGTGAACAGGAAACTGCTTGTGCCATTAAGCAAAGAAATGTTCCAAGACTGATGGGGAGATAGCAAAAGCACACAGGAACTAGGCTGAACGGGGCTCCCACTGGATAACTCCAGAAAATCTGAGCAGTCAAAGTATAACAATAGTAACAGATTATAGCATATATGAAAAAAAGAACCCATCAGTCCATAGTGCTTTGTAAAGAATGGTGAAAGGCAAAAAATGGAAGCAAAAGGGAAACCTTTATAGAAGAATGATACCTAATACATGTAGAAGAAATGATAAAATTAAGAACTCACCCTATTACAACTACCCGTGTAGTTACTGGCAGAAAGATGATCGATGAATGCTACCATTTCCTGAAAGTTTGCTGGTAAACAGGATATTCACATAAATTTTAAAATATCACCTTACAGGCTACTTACTAATTACAAAAGGGAAAGACTGCTTTTTCAATGGAGAAATCTAAAGATACTACTTTAACCAAATGATCAAGTATCATCAGTAATGGGAACACACCAACAATATATGAATCTGACAATCATCAATACATGATGCAGTGGGAAATATCACCCTGTAGTAGTCTTGCCAAGATTTTAAAATCTGAATCCAACCATGAGAAAACAGACAAATCCAGACTGTGAGGCAAACTTACTAGCAACTGGCATGGAGTCATCAAAAATGTTACTGTGATGAAAGACCAAAAAAGAAAAGCTGAGAAACTGTTCTAGTGTGAAGGAGATCAAGAGACATGACCACAAAATGTAATGCTTAATCTCTGAATAGACCCTGAAAAAAAAACCCTAATATTATTGCTAAACTACACTGGGCATATAAAATATATGCCCAATGTTACATTTCTTGGGCAAGATATAGATATATATATATATATATATATATATATTTTATTATTATACAAGATAGTGTCCTAGTTCTTAGGGGTTACATGCTAAAGTATTGAAAGGTAAATTGTCATGGTGTCTGCAACTTACTGTTAAATGGTTCAAAAATTTTAAAAACTATATTCTAAATGCAAGGCAGTATAGTGGATAGGATCCTGTAATAGCAAAAAGACATCAGCGGAAAAACTGGTGGGACTTCCCTGGTGGCGCAGTGGTTAAGAATGTGCCTGCCAATGCAGGGGACATGGATTCTATCCCTGGTCTGGGAAGATCTCACATGCCATGGAGCAACTAAGCCCATGCACCACAACTACTGAAGCCCGAGCCCTAGAGCCCGCATGTCGCAACTACTGAAGCCTGCGCACCTAGAGCCCGCGCTCTGCAGCAAGAGAAGCCACTGCAATGAGAAGCCTGCGCACCGCAACAAAGAGTAGCCCCCGCCAGCTGCAACTAAAGCCTGCGTGCAGCAACGAAGATCCAACACAGCCAAAGATAAATAAAAATTTATAAAAATACAGACATATTAAAAAAAAAGAAAAACTGGTGAAATCCTAATGAAGCCTTTAGTTAATGGCAGCGTTAACAGTATTAATTAGTTTTGACAACTGAACCAAGGTTACATAAAATAATATTAGGGGAAACTGAGTGAAGGGTGTACCAGAACTCTCCATACATTAGATGCAACTTTTCTATAAAGCTAAAACTATTCCAAAATAAAAAGCTCATTTTTTTTTAATGTATGTTTAAAGAGAAAGCAAATGGAGCAAAATGTTAATAACTGGTATATCTCAGTTGACAGGTATATGGATGTTTACTAGCCAATTATTTTAACTTTTCCATAGGTTTAAAATTTGTCAAAATGTGAAAAGAAAATAAAGTGACAGAAGGTTAAAAGAATGGAAAAAGATATTCTACATGAACACTAACCAAAAGAAGACTGATGTTATTATACTAATGTTAGACCAAGTAGCCTTTAGGAAAAAATAAAGGAAAACTTCCTAATTAGAAAAGTTCAATTTACCAGAAAGACAGCAGAATCTAAATTTATATGCACCTAATCAAACAGCATCAAAATTTATAAAACAAAAATTGTCTGAACTAGGAGAAATACGTATATCCAGGGTCATGAGAGATTTCAGTACGTCTCCAAAACAAAGAGTACACCAAGAAAACAAAACGGTAGGATACAGATTTGAACGATTCAATCTGCAAGTGTGACCTAATGCACATATGTAGAATTCCACAACTGCAGAATAAACATTCTTTAAAAGCTCACATGGAACATGTATAAAGAATGTTCATACACTGGGCGATAAGCTTGTCTTTACGGGAGGAGGCGTAAGGCAGGCTTCCAAGGTGCTGGCATTGTGATATTCCTTGACAGGGTGGTGATTACATAGGTTTTTGCTTTGTTGATAAATTCTGTTTCGTAGTTCATTTTTTGTATGTATTTTATATATTTGTGTGTATATTATATATTTCTTATTGTTGTTCAGTTTATGTGCATTACGTTTTACAACTTAAAAAGAGTTAGAATCCTTTAGGAAGGTAACCATCTCCCATAAAACAATAAGCCCAATGCAGCTTATGTTTCCTTCGGCATTTCAACTAGTTGCTGTTTTTTTGTTTCACACCTGATGAAGTAATAGGCTATGCTTAGAGGCTTCCTTATACAAAACTTACATATCTTTAAACATAAAAAATATATTCAGCCCAGCAAGACATTTATTCTTAATAGAGACACATAGGAATTGAGACTGAGGGAACAGAGAATCCATGAATCCCAACTCACACTTAATCCAAGGAAGTATAGGTTCATAGGCTCATTTAATAAAATAGGCACAATCACTTACAATAGTAAAATTATTTTCCTTTCACCTTTCTTTTTTATGGCCAAGCTCATTTCATTTCATTTGCCTAAGTTAAACATAAATAGGCTTTAGGCCCCAGGAAGGATTACTTTGATTTTGGGAATAACTAAGGCTATGCAGATTGAGGGAGCAGAAAAGAATCTAATGGAGAGCAAACAAAACAGCTGCCCCAGAAGAACCAAACAAATATGACATGATTATGGCCCATAGTAATCTTAATATAATCTTTATATCTTAATCCTGATATAGTAGTAGTAGTAATAGAAGTAGAATTCAGTAACATTTACTGAAGGCTCATCATCATCATCATCATCATCATCAGTAACATTTCTAAAGGTCTACCACACCTGCCAGGCACTACGCTATATATAAGATTTTCCTAGATTGTTTCATCTAAACATCTCACAGTAAGCCCAGAAAGTAGGTAAATTACTAGTTCCATTTTACAGATGAAGAAATAGGCTGAGTAACTGGCCAAAACCACCCAAGTAGCAAGTGGAAGAAATGGAAATCTAACTTAGCTAGCCTGACTTCAGAGAATGTAACCTTATCCACTCTGCTATACAGCCTGTTCCTAGCAGATAAATAATGATTTGCACTTAATGATCTCTAAGGAATATTTCACTTCTAACATTCTATGATTTGCTTTAATGAATCTATAATAGAGCATTCAACTAGGCCCAGTAATGTCAAACTGTATAAAGCAAAATAAGGAAGCTCAATAAAATCTCTTTACATGACCTGAAAAGTTAGAATTCAGGTTCCTTAGGATTATCAGAGTTGGACTTTCCCCATATTAAACCCTTCAAGAAATGGAAATGTTTTTCTTGTCTGTCAATCAATACCTAATATTTTTTCCTCATATGAAAACAGATGGCACAGACAATATCAAAAGACATTCCAGAAAGAATAAAAGAATTTGCAATGCTGTTGGCTTGATCCTTTGTTTTGTTTTTTGTTTTATTTATTTATTTATTTTTGGCTCCATTAGGTCTTCGCTGCTGGGTGCGGGCTTTCTCTCTAGTTGCGGCAAGCGGGGGCTGTTGTTTGTTGCGGTGCTGCTCAGGCTTCTCGCTGTAGTGGCTTCTCTTTATTGTGGAGCACAGGCTCTAGGCACATGGGCTTCAGCAGTTGTGGGACACGGGCTCAGTAGTTGTGGCACACGGGTTTAGTTGCTCCGCGGCACGTGGGATCTTCCCAGACCAGAGTTCGAACCCATGTCCCCTGCATTGGCAGGCGGATTCTTAATCACTGTGCCACCAGGGAAGTCCCCATTGGCTTGATCTTTAAACACAACTGGACTCAAGACAAATCTGATAAATGCAGATTTCTGGGGGAAATCCTAAATCCTAAAATTTCACCTAAATTGAGTGAAAATCAAATAAACTGTTTATAAACTATTGATATTAGCCTTGAAAAAATATTATTGGTGGTTAATTGAATATATTAAAGCTAAAAAAAATTCTTATAAACATAAGACCTATTTGTTCTTTATACAGAATAGTGAGTGATCATAATCAAGTCAAAATATTCACATTTGTTCTTTTAAAATCATCATGAGAGTTCTTTTTAAAAAGCAAAACTAGCTGCCTAATTTACTCTTTTTAAAGAAGAAAAACAGCTAACTCCACAATGGATATAATATAAAAAGTTGTTAGATGCTCCTTAGCCTCATAAATAATATGAAGTATACCTCATACAAGAAGCATACTGACACTTTTGTAATAATCTGAAATACTAGAAGCTTCTGGGAAATGGAAATAATTTGTTAAAAATCAAAAAACAAAGTATGGTACAACTACTTCTCTTCAAGGCCTCAATAAGGAAAAAAAATTTATTAGGTCCAGGAATCCAAGAAAACTTGGTGTATTTACAAGTACATGCAGAATTTGATGGTTAGAAATGAAATCTATTTAGGTCCAGCCTAAGATTCTCATAGCCCATCTATAGGCAACCAGGATAAATCTCCAATGTGCCTGAATTTAATGAACCAGATAGATCATTGTATCACCAATATCTGCCCATAGCCCATTTTCAGTAAGATGAATTTTCTTGCTCGTGAGGTCCACGTGGAAAACAGCATGCTCAGAAATGGGGGTCTTCTCAGCGTGCTCTTTTCCCAGGACAGGAACTCGCCGAGGCCCCAACAGTGGATCATCAAATCTCATCAGTTTCACTTTGGAAAGGTCTACAGCAAAAGAAAGTATCAATATGAACATTTAATTACAGTCACTGACTCAAACCCATGCCTGAGTCTGATAATTCACACTGGTTGTTATATCTAAAACAATATTTTCATCAGATTACTAAATAGGACCCGATGTCAGAAGGCAAAGTTGAATCTAACAAATCTTCATCTTCTGTCAACTTTTACCCAGATCAAAGACCAGCAGAGATTCTGGATAAGACATCTCCTGAATTACAAACCAAGGGGAGGGATTGATTATATTTTTGAGCATTATCCTATATGGTCTCTCAAATTACTTTTAATACACTTCAGTTAACCATTTTTCAGAATATTAAAAAGCCTAAAACTTATTTATCTTGCTTGTCTTGCTTCCTGGAATACTTAAAAGTTCAAGAATTGTGGCTTTTGGGGAAAGATAATTTTGGAAAAAGAGTTACTACTCTAAGAAATAGCATTACCAGTTTCTTGTTTTGCTCAAAGGATGAAAGTGTATTAACAAGCTGATGAGAGACAAGGAAAGAAGGGGAATGGCTTGGGGAAAGGGCGCAGGTTTTAGAATTTTGAGCTTTTGGATGAGTTCCAACCCTCCCTTGCTTGAGATTTTCCTGATCTGCTCTTGTGCAAGCTGATAAGATGGCTCCTGGTAAAGACAGCACTTGTCCCTTGAACAAATTTATGATCCAACAATCCTGCCAACAACTGAGCCCAAAAGAAATTTATTTATTTCAGCAATTCTGAGACTTTTCAACATCAAATGGTTTTATTTTATATCGTAGAAAAACACCATAAATGACTACAAATGCTGATTCTGGATTTACAGCTCATTCTAAGTGTAGCATGGCTAGTTTATACTGAACCTGATCCACAGAAACTGAAGATATTTTCTGAATTACTTCCCACCCCTTTCTAAAGTAGATTGCTGGGTGGTCCATGAGCTACACTCCCTCATGTTGCCTTGAGAGTATGAAACTTAGCATGAGAGGGATAAGGTTTAAAAAAAGATAAAAGGAGACATTAATGCAGCTGGCGGCTATGCCAGGAGTACAGGTTATCCAGGCATTCTATTCTCCTTGGGAAACAAAGACTAAAGGACTACAAGTTTAGAGTAGGGATCCTGGGGCTTATAGAGCAATTATCTGCAACTACTATGAAGGCAAACCCTGCCTAAGAGTCTTTGTAGAGTCTCTGCAGAGGCCATACAGTCTATCCCCATAAACAGCACAAGCCCTGAAAATTAAAATGGGAAAGGAGCACTTACAGTCTTCATGACAGCCATGGTCTTATTTGGGGGGAAGAACACAATTCATTTTAACAGCTACTGCAATTCAACATGCACATCAGTGATAGCAAATTATTTTCTTATGGAAGCAGTGACAAGCCCTACCGGCAGATTTTATGCACAAAGCCTTTTACTACAGATCTGCCTCTGTCTCTATCTCTCTCTCTCTCTCTCTGAAACAGACCTCCCTCATCATTCCAAGCAATGCTGAATCAAACTATTTCAAAGAAGCCTTAATACCCAACCAGGCTTCTAAGTAACAAAACTCATCTGCTTTGATGTTTCATCATGTAGTTCATTACTGCCAATAAAATTATTGGGGCTTTCTTAGTGGTTTTAATATCTTTTCTTATCCCAGACCTCTCTTATCATTGAAAATGTTGAAATTTAAGTCTGCAACTACACAAGATTTAAGACACTTAAAGATGAGAGTGATTGAGAGTCCCTAGGGATTGATAATGTGAAATGGAGCTTTTCACCTCCAAATTATTAGTTCATATGTGGCATGGGTGGTAAGTGATTTAAAGTCATTATCGTCAAATAGTTGCTCCATGGCCTTTGTGGACTGAATGACGATTTTAGCTCCTAGTGCCTCCTGGACCTAGATCATAATCACCCTCAATACAATTGGCATTAATTGGATGACTTGCTGGCTATCACAGCAGACAGACTGAGAAATATGTTATTGAATTTCACTCCTTTCCCATCTCATATACTCAATATACTCAGTCCCCTTAGATATCAAAGTATTCTGAGGGCTTTTGGAAAAGTCTTAAGTTTAGAGCTCTTCTGTAGATACTTGGAGGAATATCAATTGCAAACTCCCCCTAATATTTCTATCTATTTTCCAAATTCACAGCAGCCACTAACAACAAACTTAAAGCACTTCATGATAATATTATTCACAGCTAGAATGACAAAGGATGTAAGAATTATGCCAGAGGCTCAGTGAGAAAAGACGAGCTAAAGAAAACACATCAGTACAGTTCTAAAGAACCCAGTCAGTGCTGCATCTGAGTGTATTTAAAAGGGAGTCAGGGGCTTCCCTGGTGGCGCAGTGCTTGAGAGTCCGCCTGCCGATGCAGGAGACGCGGGTTCGTGCCCCGTTTCGGGAGGATCCCACATGCCGCGGAGCGGCTGGGCCCGTGAGCCATGGCCGCTGAGCCTGCGCGTCCGGAGCCTGTGCTCCGCAAATGGGAGAGGCCACAACAGGGAGAGGCCCCCATAAAGCAAGAAAAAAAAAAAAAAAAAAGGGAGTCAGGTTTAACAGTATATTATATAATCCAATTTCCAATACAGGAATAAAACCTCTTATGCACTATAACCTCATAATAATCCTATCCAGCATGTCCACACAAATATCTATTTTCTTTAGAAGCCACCATATTGTTCTTCAAAGTTAAAAGCTCTTCCTATTACAAAAATTTCTCATGACTGAATATATGCAATATAAAACAGCCAAAAGGAAGGCCACAAAATGGCTTCCTATATGTTCACACTTCAAAATTTTCAAGTTCTGCTTTTTGTGGCCTATAAGTTCTAAGGATGGCATTATCATTCTACAGTACCTGGTTTATTGAAGGAACACGCTAAATGTCTACAACAAAATGGATGAACCTTGAAAACATTTTGCTAAGTGAAATAAGACATACAAAAGAACAATATTGTATGATTCCACTATACAGGTACCTAGAACAGTCAAATACATAGAGTAGAAGAGTAGTTACCAGTGACTACAGGGAGGAAGAATGGGGAGTTATTATTTAATGGGTAGAGTTTCAGTTTGGGATGATGAAAAAAGTTCCAGAAATGGATAGTGTGATGGCTGCACATCAGTGTGAATGTACTTAATGCTACCGAACTGTACACTTAAACAATGACTAAAATGGTCAATTTTATGTTATGTATATTTTACAATTTTTTTAAATGTCTGCAAACAAAAATATTCCTAGTCCTAACATATTGCTGGTACACAGTGAAAAAAGTATCAGTGTTTCCCTCATGCTAGTACACACTTTCCCTTCACCCTCACAGGTATAATTCTCAAGGCCCTATCAAACAATGTTTTCTCCATAAAATCATCTCTGATCACCACAGCTGGAAATAATCTCACCTTTTTCTGTGTGTAAATTTTACTATATCTCTCTTACTGTACCCAGCAGTTTCTCCTTAGATTATGATTATGTACTTCAATAGCTTAGTCCCCTACTCCTTCACTAGATGCAGCCTCCTAATGAACAGTACTTTGTGGACACCCCAAAGCCCCTAGTACCTACAAAGGAGTCTCTGCATACACACTTATCTCTACACACACTACACATGATATTCTCTCAAGAAATGACAACAGAAGGTACACGAATGACTTCAAGAGAACAAAAAATACATGGTAGAATGAATTCCAAAGGGCTATTTTAAGTCTTCTATGTAAATGGAATGTTGTTACCCTGAATATAGTTCCATAAATTGGTCACCGTATGGGATTTGTAAATCTTTTCAGAAAATTTTATACTGATGGTATTTGGCCCAATCAAGTCTTGATTGCCATAAGAAGAGAAGAGAGAGATTGTGCAAAAGAGGGAATATCAACATTAATTTGTCTTCATAATTTGGAAGAAAAATAATACAGAAACAAACTAATTCCCTTCATGCTCTTCTCAGCGTAAGACCAGCTAACTAATTAAAAAAAGAAGCTATACAATCCCACTACTGGGCATATACCCTGAGAAAACCATAACTCAAAAAGAGTCATGTACCACAATGTTCACTACAGCACTATTTTCAACAGCCGGGACATGGAAGCAACCTAAGTGTCCATTGACAGATGAGTGGATAAAGAAGATGTGGCTCATATATACAATGAGAATATTACTCAGCCATAAAAAGAAACAAAATTGAGTTATTTGTAGTGGGGTGGATGGACTAGAGTCTGTCACACAGAGTAAGTCAGAAAAAGAAAAATAAATACCGTATGCTAACACATATATATGGAATCTAAAAAAAAAAAAAAACAGGTCTGATGAGCCTAGGGGCAGGAGAGGAGTAAAGATGCAGACTAGAGAATGGACTTAGGACATGGGGAGGGGGAAGGGGAAGCTGGGACGAAGTGAGAGAGTAACACTGTCATATATACACTACCGAATGTAAAATAGCTAGCTAGTGGGAAGCAGCTGCATAGCACAGGGAGATCAGCTCTGTGCTTTGTAGCCACCTAGAGGGGCGGGATAAGGAGGGTGGGAGGGAGATGCAAGAGGGAGGAGATATGGGGATATATGCATGTGTATAGCTGATTCACTTTGTCATACCATAGAAACTAACACAACATTGTAAAGCAATTATACTCCAATAAAGATGTTAAAAAAAAAAGCTATAAATTGTTATATCAAATCTAATCATAGGAGATCTAGACTTAATCTTGCTAAGAAATTAAGATTATTTATATTTTACCTGGAGGCACACTGTCTAAAAGAAAGAATATGAGCTTTGGAGTCAAATATATCTAAGTTTGAATTCCAGCTCCAGGATTTACTAGCTGTATGAACTTTGCAAGTTATTTAGCCTTTCTAACCTCCATTTCATCATCTGCAAAAGGGGAATAACACCCTAAATGTTACAGGGTTGTAAAAGGATTAAATGGCTAATACATGGCAGACACTCAATAACTTTTACTCTGTTTCTCTTCCTTCCCCAGGAACAGATTCAGTCAAGCAGGTTAGTTTGGAATTAAGGGAATATGTTCCTTCATTCTGAATACTTCTGAGCGCTGGAAATTGCTTATTACAATTTTAAAGCTAGATGGAATCCTGGAAAAATATCTAATCCAGTGTTCTCATTTCACTAAAAGAGAAATCAGTTTAGAGCTTAAATGACATGGCCAAGCCACCAAGCTACGTCACAATGTTGTCCCAAAAGAAAATATAGGTGTCCTGATTCTGGGTCCAACACTCTTCTTTCCACATTACATGACTGTCCCTAAGCAGGACAGTTACTTTTCTTTCTCCCCTCTGCTTAGAACTCATCAAATCCACAAGCTGCTGCCAAATGTGCACTTCAAGGAAACCATTTACCTTTGATTCCTCGGTCCACCTTCATTAAACGCCGGATTATAGAATCACGGTTATCTCCTTGCCTGATTTCAATTTTGGTTGAGAAGTGGCCATTGAATGGCTGAGAATTCACTAGGGAAACTGATACACCAGGCTAAGAAAATAAAGAGAAAATGACTATTATAAGAAATCAAACTTGAATACTGCTGAGGGAGAAGGAATCTCTGCTAGATTTTTAATGCCCAATGAAAGACAGATTTAATTCTGGTATTCTAAAATCAAGACCAAGGGATACTCAAATATGAAAGAAAAAAAGTACGGAAGCCCATGCTTATAACCAAATGCCTAGGTAAAAATGACTATGAGTACACATATCAATACTGATGATGGATAAAAACAATAATTCTATTTTCTCTTCTAAAACTACCACCATTTATTGAATTCCTACTATGTACCAGACACTGTACGAAGCACTTTATAGACATTATTCCTGTATCCTGAAAGGCAGTTTCTTAAGACCCCTTTTCACAGATGAAAAGCTGAGAACCAGAAAGATTAACAAAGTAGCCCAAGGTCACACAGCTGGTAAGAGGCAGAGCCTCACGTTTACTGAGAATAAACTCATTTCTATGACATACTAACTCCCACATAATATAAACAATATAGTTAAAGAACTTGCTCATTATTTTAAGTGGAAAAAGTCAACTGAGCCTTATGAAACTTAAATACATAGTAGCTTAATGGAATGCTTGAAAGAAGCTTGAAATAAACATATTTGTATGGGGAAAACTATTTCATGTACCTATATTCATGGCCCAAATGACTGTCCTTTTAAAAGCCACCATATCTTAATGTAATGAGACTATTTATAATCTGATGATAAATTTAGGAGGTCTGCATGATCATGATTACTTCATTTTTTCAAAATAGACTTCTGCTTGCTGCATTTTCAATTAAATGTGGTAAAAGTGGCAGGATATATGTAAGTCCTCTGCTTATCAAGAAAAGTAGGGCATTTTACGGACTCTCACATTGGCACTCCAGTGAACTTTACCAAATGCTGCCATTCTGAATGGATTCTTTAAGAGTTAATAAATAAAATCTCCCCAAACTTCAAAACCTATTTATCTTCACCAGTAATGGTCAAAAAATAAGAAATTAAAAAAGCATTTCCAGTATAATGGGAAATGATGTATCAATCTGGTTTATGCCAGAAACCAAAAGTCTTGAATACCATTATTAAACCAAAACTCATCTGAGGGCTCCCTGGTGGCGCAGTGGTTGAGAGTCCGCCTGCCGATGCAGGGGACACACGTTCATCTCCCGGTCCGGGAAGATCCCACATCCCGCAGAGCGGATGGGCCCGTGAGCCATGGCCGCTGAGCCTACACGTCCGGAGCCTGTGCTCCGCAACGGTAGAGGCCACAACAGTGAGAGGCCCGCGTACCACAAAAAAAAAAAAAAAAACTCATCTGAAATATGAAAGCTCCTTTTCACTGTTTAAAAAAGTTTCACATTTCAATGTCCACTATCTTTTTTTTTAAAGTCAGTTTTTGAAAACGATATTCTTATTTTTAAAATCACAATCAACATCTGATGCTACCTGTGATAGTAGAGTAAGGAAAAGTGAGGGTTGCATTAACCAGGGAATTAGAGGACCTCAAATCCAGACCCACTACTAACCAACTAAGTGGCCTAAGCCAAGCTAATCATTTAACTTCTCTGGACCTCACATCTTTCCATCGTTAAAATGATGGTTTTAGAATGTAAAGCTCTCTATGGTCTCTTCTAGCTCTAAAATGTAATGATTCAGTGAGATTCTTTCAACTTACTTCTGTTCTAAAAACATTAAGTGGTTTCCCAGGACAGCAATCTTCCCTGACTTTATCTTCTGCTTCAGAGGCAAACTTGACTTCTATGTGTTCTAGCTAAGTAGAGGGGAAAGATGGAAGTCATTAGTATCACTTAATATGATTGGAATTAGTCATCACCTCATTTCACCAAAGAGCAAAACCAAGTTCTCCACTTATCATAAAATGGCCTGTGCAGTTTTATTATTTTCCGTATAAACATTATATGAAACCTATCATCAAGTATTTAACACTCATGTTAGATGCCTCAGAGTATGTTATTTATATAGTCATGTTTACCATCTTCTATCAGGAAATCTGGCATCTACCTGCTGCCTAAGAGAAAACAAAAATCAGTATAAAAGGCTTTCACTCAGATAAATGGAAAAACTCAGAAATGTAGCAAATTGCATATACCTGAATACAAGATGACCCTAAATAAAGTGTTTCCATTGTCCCAGTGTAAATATCCAAGAAGTTTTTTGACCTCCATGAGTATATATGAACATTTAGAAATATACATAAAATAGATGTCTACTAATACTTTATTAACACATTTATAATTACATGACACAAAATGCTTATTTAGAAATGCTTATTTCTTCCATTCCTGTATTTCATAAAACAATTTTATTCAAACTCTAAACCTGCATTTTTTTATATTAGTGTTTTCATTATTACTAGAACCACTTTTTGAATCCTCTAACACAATTTCCTATAGAAAATTAACTTTCCTTCTGCCTAAGGTGAATGAGAGACAGCATTTTTAGAAGCTATATATTAAATTGTCACTGGGGCAGGAAGATGGAATGGGGAGAAACTCAGATATGTGAAAGCTACTGGTAATGTTCTAGTTCCTGAGTTGGGCAGTAGATTCATGGATGGTGATTATATTACTAATTAAGAAAAAAAAAAACGGGGCCAAACATGGACCACTGATAATATATAAGGAATCAAGGATTCTAATTAATCCAAATCTGTGATTCTGAGGTCTTAAAGGGAGGGGGGAAAAAAAGCAATGCAGAATACCCCATAATATGAGAGATTTTGAAAGCATTTGAATATAAGGCCTCTCCTCATTTTTTTTTACGGATAATTTTGAGAGGAAATCCAGGCATATACAGTTAGTATTTTAGGAACAGAATAACTGATAAGTGAAATAAGAGAACAGATCATTTCCTCTTCCTGTAACTTCTATACCACCCATTCTCTTTCCCCCCAAAATATATTTGGCAAAGGTACTAAACATAGAAGATGAAGTTTATAAAAAGGTTTATTATAAAACTAAAGAACTGGACTGTTTACTATAGTTAACTAGTTATTATAATCCCAGGCCCCTCTTACCTCAAGGGAATTGGTCAGATAGACTATATTCTCCATGAGCACTGCCTGTTCATCAAATTCTAATTGCAAATCCAGAACACGAGGTCCCATCTTCTCCAGATTTTCCTAGCAGCCAAAATGGTTTTTAAAAACAAAATCACATTAAGAATATGATGAAAAGAACATATTTCTCCCAAAGCAATCAGTCTCTCAAGTGATAATATCTTCAAATTTGAACAGTTAAAGGAAAGGCCTTGGACTCATGGTTTCCCTTATCTATGTTTGCTCGCTAATGAAATTACTCGCTGAGAGTAATTATCATTTAAAGTATGATAAGATTAAGACAGCACTGAAAAGACTAGAAGGACAAGGTTTTCAGATTTATAAAAGAAATATGATTTCATCATTGTTAATTTACCCTGGCTTTATATGCAAACCCAAAGAACTCACTTTGACAAGGAATCAAACAAATGTCTTAAAATACCCCTTCAGGTAATAAATAAATTAAATTAAATTAAATTAAATTAAATGTTTCCAAGATACCACATCTGTAAAACTATTTCAAGAAACAGTGAATTAATAATAACCAAACAAAACATTCCTATAAATTTAAAAATTTTTTTTAAAGTCAGATTATATGGGTACTCAGATAATCCTGTGACATATATATAAAAAACCATCTTATTCTTAATTTTAACATTAAATATCAATATTTGCTGCTCAAGATGTAACCTTCAAGACTTAAGTTCATATGCACAAATACAGCTAACTGCCTAGAACATGTTTCACTTACATGAAAGTGACCTGACATGATTCTTAATATTCACTACCTTCATTTACCATCCAAGTTGTTTCTTTTCCCATGAGGTGCTAGAAAACCCTTTTCTTATTCCCAGATTTATTAAACACTTTTCAAAGTTTCAAACCACTAATTTGCCTCATAATACCAAGTAATACCAATATTACTGAAAAAAAATTTTACTACTCAAAAAATCTAACACTGGTTTTTCAAAAAGCCAACCCTTGAATCTAACATCATTTAAAATCAGTTTCACTGGATTCTATAAAGCATGTCATCAAAATTAATTGCCTCTGCAACCAACAATGGGATATTTTGTTGATTTCCCCATATTGACAATGGATCTGACATTATGACCAATGGCACTAGCTGGGAAGCAATGAATTATGAGCATACCAGCAAACATACTTATTATTGTAGGTCAAGCCATGATTCTAAATTATTTCTGAAACTTCAAATATCATAAGGCTCAGATAGTTGACTCTGGTTCCAGGAGAATTAAAAGGCTTTCCTAAGAACACAATCTACTCCAATACAAGACAAGCTAAGAGTTTTGGTCTCTTATCAGGCAGGTATCTGTAGCCTACAAGATTCAATAATTAATCTAAAGTATAAGAATAACCATTACATGCTTAGCAGGCTGGAAGACACTGATATACATTTTCTTAAAAATGTACTGAGCCTACTTTTTGATAGGTAGTATTAAAATGTATTATGTGTATTAATTAATTTACTCCTCACAGCACTCCTAAAAGGTAGGTTCTATTAATTTCCTATTTTATAGATGAAAAACGTTGTGGCCCACAGAATTTAAGTGATTTGTCTAAGTCCTCCAAACTAAAAAGTGACAGAAAACAGGATTTGGGCCAAGATTTGTCTGCCCCCAGAGTCTGAGATCTTAAGCAATATACAGTCTTCTTTCTGTTTCTCTTTGTCAGGAAATCCACCAGATCAGTTATATATATGAAAAAGACTAAGAGTTTAACCCAAAGATTCTCAATGGGGGAGCTATGGTGGGGGGCTGATTTTGCTACCAGGAGATATTTGGCAATGTATGGAGGCATTTTTGGTTGTCATAACTTGAGTAGGGGAGGGAGAAATTCTACTGGCATCCAGTGGGTAGAAGCCAAGGACACTGCTAAACACCCTATAGTGCACAGGACAGCCTCCCACAACCAAGAACTATTCAGCCTAAAATACACATAGAGCCATTGTTGAGAAACCCTGATCTAACCACTATAAACAACGTTTATCCTGTTAAGCTAAACCTATACAAATGTAGAATCTTGTTCCAGTAATAGGATCTAGTAAAAATACCCTAATGTAAGCCAAAAGACTATGCTTCCTCCTTAAACTGAAAAGAAGGGAAGGTAGAATATGAAGAGAATCATTTAGTGCAGTAATTCTCAACCAATTTTTCTTCCACAATACATATTTTTCACACACTCAGCAATGCCACAGGTAAACCCCAAATCTGATCACTCATTTCCACAACCACTGATTGAAAAGTGCTATTTTAGCAGATTTCTTGGGGGAGACTGTGTCCAAAGTGTTCCTCTTACTTCTACTATCCTATCTAACCATTACCCATGTGGTCACAGCTGCACAAGGTCCACAGCTTACCTTAATCATGGCAACAAATGGCATCACTTTCTTCATGTATTTCTTCAATTCTGGCAAATTGACTAGTTCACTAGCAATGACTTTGTTATCAGGCAATTTTCCACTATTGGTCTAAAAAAAAGAGTGGGAGACAAATGTGAAGAAAAATATTTTAAAGATAATATAGGATAGTAGATGTGCCTGTAAGAAACTAGCCAGACATGAAATGGTGGCCTCTACCAATCTGCTAGAGAGCAGCACAAGAGGGTGCAGCCTCTAGCATCACGGGGAAGTGAAAGGTAAATGAATAATACAGAAAGGAGTCTCCTCTTTCCTCTAAATTCAAAGGACACATGTTTTTTCGGGTAAAGGAGAAGAGCATGTGCATCATGCTGAAATATTTAATTTTCCCTTACACTAATGATACCTCTAGGATTGTAACATTAGATCTTATCTAGTGATAAAATGGTCTTATAAAAATCCTATTTGTCTTCAAACTTCTCAAAGTATTTCATTAGTCATATCAAAATGAAAACTATACAACTATCATATAAGATGTATTATAATGTCTGCTTTTGAACACTCTGCCTTATAAATTGTTACCACAAATGTGAAAAAAGAATCTCTAGCTATCAACCTGTTAAAAATAATATAATTTCTATCTACCAAAAATAAATATCTATATCATAAGCATTAATATGCACACAGTCCCAAATGAGCTGCCTGAATTTAAATTCACTCCTGCGAACATCAATAGAGGAGAAATAAAGTAAGCGGCCTTTCCAGACTTTTGGGTGACCTATTTTCTCCTTATTGTAAAAGAATCACACCAAAGCCAAGGGTTGGGAATAAATCTAAAAGAAAAGTAACATACAGTAAGATTTCCAATAATCTATTTACTTTCAATTCTAACCTTTACTAGAGTACATAGGAAAAAATATTTTCTCCACTTGCCAATACGTTGCTTTGAAATACATAAGAAAAAGGAGAGGGTGGAACACACTCTTTTTTCCTTATGTCACCAAAAAGGTGCCATATTGAACATAAGAACATTCTTCTTGATTATAAACTGACATTCTTTTAGTTCTTTTGGATGAAAACAAATGAAAAGTTTAAAGGAAGCTGGTCATTCCAAATAATGCCAATAGATGATGTTGATTTCAAACTATGTAATCTAGTCAATAAATATAAGTAAAAATATAACTTCTAAAAGAACAGTGGTGATTAATTTTTTAATATCTGGGACATTACATACCATATTTGGTTCTTCTGCTTCCTTGAAAATGCTGGTATGAATATATACGCCACTGAGGCAAAATTTCATTTTTCTAACTACCAAAGTAGCTTTTACTCTTTTACTTACCATAAGTCAAAACTCTGCAAGCAGATTCTAAAGCTACACTCCATTTCTATCAAACGCAATCAAAGGAAGACGTAGTTCTCCATAAAAACAGGTTCACACATTGTAGAATACAAAAATACTTGCTCTTCTCTTTCCATTAAATCTTACTAATATAAAAGTTCTTCTGAGTATTTCTTGGTTAACCATGAAAAGTACTGAGGCAAAATTCCAAAAAAGGTCTAGAAAATCAAAGCTAAGGATTTTTCCTTTATATTACCACTTTATGCTTTGGCCATAATCCCTATTTGGTCTCTTTCTTTCTTTTTAAAGTGCGCCTTAATGGTTTCTGTCCACCAATAACTGTTGCTTATAACCTGAGCAAAAATTCTACAACATATACTTTGTTTCCATATTTTGAATGTGAAAGGAAAAAGGAAGGTGAATTTTTTTCTCTAGGAAAACCTAGAACTAAGTTTAAATATTGAGTTCCCTTTAAATACAACTATCATATTTAATAGCTATTTACCTGACAATCAAAAACACAACATCAAACTCTCCATTTCTATGGGTAATTATCAAATTGGACATTTTCTTTTAAATTACTCAAGAGCCAAGCTTCAAATTTTTTCAAACATAATAATGTTAAGGCTTCACGAATGCCAGTGTTCAAGGCACAACAAATCCAAACGGCAAACTCAGTCCTTTTGCTTCATAATTTTAACCACACATATGAAAAAGTCTCACACCTTTTGATTACATACAACTAGATCTAGTATTTTTTATGAAAGTTTCAGAAATGATGAAAATCAGCTTTTCCCTCAGCATCCATTTAAGAGCCACCAAGGATAACAAATGGCACTCCATGCGTAAAGGTAATTAAACAAAGCTGCCTGTCTTTCTTCCCCTAGACACTGCCAACATCCTAAAAATAAAACCAGCATACGCAGAACACGACACTGCTGCGGTGAGGTGGGGGGTAAGTCTATTGAGAACATCACCTCAAAGTGATGACGCAGAACTGACAGGGTGATGTGTTGCCAAGACGGATAGTTCTTCGCCACATAGATGGTGCAATGTGAAGGCTTCTGAGGGAGGTGCTTGTCAGTCTTCTACAGGGCAGAAGAAAGAAAAAGAACATTTAATCACTTTCATATACACCAAAAATGAAAGAACCCTCTCCCAGTATATAGCACTACTGCCTTTAACATTAAAAAATATGCATACAACAGAACTGCATTAGAAATGAAAATAGCCCTACATTAGCAATGAAAATGGCCCTAATGAAAGTTGTCTTTATTTTCATTACTATTAAATGTTATTTGACCAATAACTTTTAAGGAATGACATTAAAAAAAATAAGACTTCACCTTCCCTTTAGCTGGTATCATATAGTTCTTGAGTCGCAATCTAAGGTCATGTGCTACTTCCATGAGATACTGTGAGGAGCGTACCAAGCTTTCATCCACAGGACCTGCCAGAGGCCATGAAGCATTCATAACTGAGTCGGGCTTTAAAAAAAAAAAGGTTCAGTGAGATTAGACAACACAACTATTTTATGATTCTTGGTTACAGTTTCATACCAAGGCATGGTGTGTAACTGTGTGCTCAAAGTCCAAACCTGACTACACACAACACGCTTCCACAGACCCTAGTCTAATGTTCCCTAGAATTCAAGCTGTGAAGTCTGACTACATTCTTAATTAGCATCCATTTGTACAAGCATATTGATACCCACACACATATGTTCACTTTCAAAGAAAATTATGTAATGCTAATTTGCCTAAATTTAATCTTTGTTATATAAATTATGCATACTCTCAGTTTTTATCCTACTAATACATCCAGTACTGAAAGTATGGCTATTTGGAATATATATCATGAGCACATTTTTGCATTGTTCACACATTGAAAAATACAAAAGAGCTTGGCTAATAATGCTGGAAAGGAGTTATTAAACCAGCCAATCTGTTTATCTATAAGCCTGGGAGAAATAAATTTATCTTCACAGTAAGAATGCTAATTTAAAATCCCTGAATATGCAGCCCTATATATGCCAGGAATTTTATATAAAACAAGAATATTTATGCAAGTATACACTTCTATCTTTGTTTATAAGCGGCTCATAACAGTTATTTATATCTTTCTCAATATTTTCACCTTTCTAAACAAACAGCTGAGAAAACAGTATTAGTTATACATGTATTCAAATACATTATAACATTTCCTAATAAGAATTAGGTGATAAACAACACGCACAAAGTCACATTATTAAAATATATACAATAAAAATAAATAAATTTTTTAAAAATTAAAAAAAAAGGGGGCCCTCCCTGGTGGCGCAGTGGTTAAGAATCCGCCTGCCAATGCAGAGGACACGGGTTTGAGCCCTGGTCTGGGAAGACCCCACATGCCACGGAGCAACTAAGCCTGTGTGCCACAACTACTGAGCCTGTGCTCTAGAGCCTGCAAGCCACAACTACTGAGCCCACGTGCCACTACTGAAGCCTGCATGCCCAGAGCCCATGCTCTGCAACGAGACAAGCCACTGTAATGAGAAGCCCACACACCGTAATGAAGGGTAGCCCCCGCTCGCCGCAACTAGAGAAAGCCCACGCACAGCAACGAAGACCCAACACAGCCAAAAATAAATAAATAAAATAAATATATTTTAAAAAAATTTTTTAATAAAATAAGACAAAATATATACACCGTGTGTATAAATTAAGGCATATATACCCGATGCCGATGTAGCTTCAATTTAAGCTGCTGTAATAATTATGAGATAATGAACCCAATATTATTCTTGAAATACTCATTTTCAGTCTTTCTCTCTTAAGTAACATTATTATCCCAACATTTATTTAATGAGGCCAAAATCAAAACCACCCAGAACATCTTAAATGCATAAAGCTACCTTTCCCAGGAGTGTCCAGATGTGCTCACACAAATGAGGACAGAATGGAGCCAAGAGAAGTGTCTGAACTTCAATAAACCGGAACACGAGGTCTCGGTGCATCCCTTCTATGGCCAATTCACGGTACTTATCTTTCGCAGCCTACAAAATTTGGAGTTATTTACCATTTCTCTCCCCCACTTCTTTAAAATAAAATTATAGGAAAAAAAACTCAGTATCTCTATTTTAATGCATTTTTAAGTATTTAGTCTTTTAAAATTCCATAATAAACTTTAGTAAAGGTTTTACTTTATTTTTAACAACCTGAAAATAAATGTATATCAATCCTTAGGTTAAAAACAATAAATTGTTTAAATTTATACATCTTTGATAATTTTTGTTTTTAAGCATTTCTTAGCCATTTAGGGTTCTTTTGGGGGCGTTGTTTGTTCATGTCCTTTGATAATTGTTCTTTGGACCATTAGTATTTTTTTGATGGGCTTGTCAAAATCCTGAAATACAGACTGTAAATAATTTTCCAGTTAACTGTATATTTTTAAGATGATCTCAGTTATGATTTTCTTATCTATGTTGGCAAATTCATCAGAACTTTTTTGGTTATGCCTTTCTTTTGTTTTTATGATTAGGAAATCTTTTTTTAATTCTAAAATCAAATAAATGTTCACTTAGCCCTGTTTTTCAGGAAAAAAAAAATGTAAATCAATCCTAACAAAAGGATAATGCAGTTTTATACTGATTCTCAAGAAAATCTGAAAAAGACATTTTGCAATGGACATAAAAGATGAACAATTTAAACTGTGTACTAAGGGTGAATGCTCAGTAGCATGTATTAATAGCATCAAAAAGGCTGTAAATATGACACACTGCTATGCTCAGCACTTATCCTTATTTAATCACATCTCTGAAAACCAAGTTACATAAATCCCAATGTGATATTTTACAAAACTGACTGAGGAAAGCTACATTTTTACTTTAAGCACTTGAACTGCCAAACTTGAGGATATGCTGACACCTTGTGGAAAACCTCAGAAAATGTTTGCTTTCAAACTAATAGCAATTAGTTACAATTATGCCTTTGTTTTTTATCAACTTTAAAATGTTTTCCTGGAAAACGTGACTAATTTTTAGATTTAACCTCTTTATTAACCCACAGCTCAACTAGGAATAGAATTACTTACATTACAGAGACATAATACAAAAAGTACCCAAGAAAACTATTTAAAATCACAATTTATTGAATATTTTACAAATTTTCAGCCTCCACTTAAGATGAGTTATAATGCTACAGCAGGAGGGGAAAAAACAAGAAATACATCATATTGACACTGACGTATTTTATAGCTACGAAAAGAATAGCCTACCTGAAACTCAAAAAACCCTGTTTTCAAAGCTTCTTTAAACATCATCTTTTCATAATTTTGATCTGTTTTTATAATGCCTGCATTCATTTCACTATTGAATAGGAAAAAAAAGGTAATTGAGTTTAAAGGCAAGTACATACATATAGGTATAAAAAACTTCCACACATACTAATAAACATTAAAATGAGAACAATGCATGAAACATTTAAGACTGCTCAACCACAAAACCATCTTTGTATTCCTCAAAACTGACTACTGCAGCCTCACACTGTCTATCCACTCTTGAGTATTGTCGTAACACTACTTAGAGCTCCTGTTTATGACAACACAGTTAACCACATGCTTGTTTAAAAATTCCTTGATGGTCACCCTGATACCAAAACCAGACAAAGATTAATACCACTGATGAATATAGATACAAAAATCCTAAACAAAATACTAGCAAACAGAATCCAACAACACATTAAAAGGATCATACACTATGATCAAGTGGGATTTATCCCAGGGATGCAAGGATTCTTCAATATACGCAAATCAATCAATGTGATACACCATATTAACAAATTGAAGAAGAAAAACCATATGATCATCTCAATAGATGCAGAAAAAGCTCTTGACAAAATTCAACACCCATTTATGAGAAAAAAACTCCAGAAAGTGGCCATAGAGGGAACCTACCTCAACATAATAAACAAAGCCAACATCATTCTCAATGGTGAAAAACTGAAAGCATTTCCTCTAAGATCAGGAACAAGAAGACAAGGATGTCCACTCTCACCACTATCATTCAACATAGTTTTGGAAGTCTTAGCCATAGCAATCAGAGAAGAAAAAGAAATAAAAGGAATACAAATTGGAAAAGAAGAAGTAAAACTGTCACTGCTTGCAGATGACATGATACTATATATAGAGAATCCTAAAGATGCCACCAGAAAACTACTAGAGCTAATCAATGAATTTGGTAAACTTGCAGGATACAAAATTAATGCACAGAAATCTCTTGCATTCCTATACACTAATGATGAAAAATCTGAAAGAGAAATTAAGGAAACACTCCCATTTACCAGTGCAACAAAAAGGATACAATACCTAGGAATAAATCTACCTAGGGAGACAAAAGACCTGTATGCAGAAAACTATAAGACACTGATGAAAGAAATTAAAGAGGATACCAACTGATGGAGAGATATACCATGTTCTTGAATTGGAAGAATCAATATTGTGAAAATGACTATACTACCCAAAGCATTCTACAGATTCAATGCAATCCCTATCAAACTACAAATGGCATTTTTTACGGAACTAAAACAAAAAATATTAAAACTTGTATGGAGACACAAAAGACCCCAAATAGCCAAAGCAGTCTTGAGGGAAATAAACGGAGTTGGAAGAATCAGACTCCCTGACTTCAGACTATACTACAAAGCTACAGTAATCAAGACAATACGGTACTGGCACAAAAACAGAAACACAGATCAATGGAACAAGATAGAAACCCCAGAGATAAACCCACGCACCTATGGTCAACTAATCTCTGACAAAGGAGGCAAGGATATACAATGGAGAAAAGACAGTCTCTTCAATAAGTGGTGTTGGGAAAACTGGACAGCTGCATGTAAAAGAATGAAATTAGAACACTCCCTAACAACACACACAAAAATAAACTCAAAATGGATTAGAGACCTAAGATTGGACACTACAAAACTCTTAGAGGAAAACATAGGCAGAACACCCTTTGACATAAATCACAGCAAGATCTTTTCTGATCCACCTCCTAGAGTAATGGAAATAAAAACAAAAATAAATTAATGGGACCTAATGAAACTTCAAAGCTTTTGCACAGCAAAGCAAACCATAAAGAAGACAAAAAGACAACCCTCAGGGGCTTCCCTGGTGGCACAGTGGTTGAGAGTCCGCCTGCCGGTGCAGGGGACGCGGGTTCATGCCCCGGTCCAGGAGGATCCCACATGCCGCAGAGCGGCTGGGCCTGTGAGCCATGGCCGCTGAGCCTGCGCGTCCGGAGCCTGTGCTCCGCAACGGGAGAGGCCGCAACAGTGAGAGGCCCACATAACGCAAAAAAAAAAAAAAAAAGAAAAGAAAAAAAAAAAAGACAACCCTCAGAATGGGAGAAAATATTTGCAAACAAATCAACGGACAAAGGATTAATCTCCAAAATATATAAACAGCTCATACAGCTCAATATTAAAAAAACAAACAACCCAATCCAAAAATGGGCAGAAGACCTAAATAGACATTTCTCCAAAGAAGACATACAGGTGGCCAAGAAGCACATGAAAAGCTGCTCAACATCACTAATGAATAGAGAAAGGCAAATCAAAACTACAATGATGTATCACCTCACACCAGTCAGAATGGGCATCATCAGAAAATCTACAAACAACAAATGCTGGAGAGGGTGTGGAGAAAAGGGAACCCTCTTGCACTGTTGGAGGGAATGTAAACTGATACAGCCACTATGGAGAACAGTACGGAGGTTCCTTAAAAAACTAAAAATAGAATTAGCATATGACCCAGCAATCCCACTACTGGGCATAGACCCAAAGAAAACCATAATTCAAAAACACACATGCACCCCAATATTTATTGCAGCACTGTTTACAATAGCCAGGTCATGGAAGCAACCTAAATGCCCATCGACAGACGAATGGATAAAGAAGTTGTGGTACATATATACAATGCAATATTACTCAGCCATAAAAAGGAACGAAATTGGGTCACTTGTTGAGACGTGAATGGATCTAGAGACTGTCATACAGAGTGAAGTTAAGTCAGAAAGAGAAAAATAAATATCGTATATTAACACATATATGTGGAGCCTACAAAAATGGTACAGATGAACTGGTTTGCAGGGCAGAAGTTGAGACAGAGATGTAGAGAACAAATGTATGGACACCAAGGAGGAAAGTGGCGGGGATGGGGTGGTGGTGTGCTGACCTGGGAGATTGGGATTGACATGTATACACTGATGTGTATAAAATTGATGACTATTAATAACCTGCTATATAAAAAAATTAATTAAATAAAATTCAAAAATTAAAAAAACAAAAAATTCCTTGATGGAAACTTTATTAAGAAGCCCAAAATGCAACATGAAAATAGCTTTACTAAGGCTGTAGTCAGGTTTAATTGTTGCATTTTAAACAACTGACATTGGATTAAAAATATATTCCTTACACTACCTCAGGCCCTTCATAATTTGGCCTAATATGGGCCCAACTTGTTTGATCTCCTACTTCTGCCCTCCACATACTGTACACTTCAAATAAATACCATACTCTTTCCATGGCTTTCTCCTCTCCTTCAAAAATTAGGTTTAGTTTTCAAGAAACCCAGAACTCACATGCCATCTCCTCTAATTTCCCTCTATCCCTACTATTGCACTTATAATTGGTTGGGTAAGTGTTTTTCTCTCCTGCTAGACTTCAATGAAGGGTCAATCAAGTCTTATTCATCTTTGTAATACCAGTGTTTCGGATGTTTCTGATACAAAAAGACTGATAAATGTTTTTTGAAGGAAAAAAGAAAAGACAATTCTTTCCCTTTAACCTACTTTTCCTTTAACCATTCCACCCTCCTCTAATGCAAGACAGCATGGTAAAATGGTCATGAGAATGGGCTTTGGAGACAGAAACAAATTCATATCCCAAGTTTGAAATTACCAGCTTTGAAACATTTAATGAAATAATTTTTCTAAGCTTCAATTTCTTTAACTATAAAATAGAGCTAATAATATATTTATCATATAAAATTGCTAGAAGGCTAAAATCAGATAATGGATGCAAAGTAGTTAGCATAGTACCTGGCACAAGTAAGCTTTCAGTGAATAGTAGTTATCATTAACATCTAATTTATTTAATGAGGAAAAAAAAGAAAACTTAAAAATACACCAGGACTAAGCAACTCTAAAGTACAAAGTGGTTGGGGTCCATAGATTACCTGGCAAAAACTCTATCATTGAAGGTGTTGGCAGGACCACTTCTTAGGCTATCCCAGTTGGCAACCATTTCTTTCACCCATTCCACCCAGGTGTACAGACGGAGAATACCTGCATCTGCCATGGTTTCCACAAAGTTAGCATCTTCAACAGTGTCACCAGCATCAGCTAGAGCCAAGCGCATTCCTGGAAGAAGAAAAAAAATCAATCGATGATTTAAAAATGTGGTTACTGCATATCAACTACGTATCCAGTTGAGTACACTGCCAAGCCTACATATAAATTAAGAAATAACAAACGCTTTAAAGGACTGCATATATCAACAGCAAAAATAAAGATCACCAGAAGTAGAATCCATAATGATGTTGCTAAAATATTTGAATTTTCTGTATTGATTTGCATACACTTAGCATCAATATGTGTTTCTTCTCAGGCATGTTGAGTTAATGAGATAAAGTGATCTTTAATGAGGCAGAGGGAAAAAATGATAAACTGGGGAAAGATATCCCTATCAACATCTCAGCCTCTTTTATAGGTAGCAAAATAGTATTGTATTTTAATACATTAAGAACACACAGAAGTGGGCTCCCCTGGTGGCGCAGTGGTTGAGAGTCCACCTGCCGATGCAGGGGACACGGGTTCGTGCCCCGGTCCGGGAAGATTCCACATGCCGTGAAGCGACTGGGCCCATGAGCCATGGCTGCTGAGCCTGCACATCCGGAGCCTGTGTTCCACAACAGGAGAGGCCACAACAGTGAGAGGCCTGCGTACCACAAAAAAAAA